CTCACTGGCTGAGCGAGGCGTGGGAGCAACATCGAGGGTTGCGATCCCGTTGCCGGTCCCGGTCCGGTACGGGCGCGACACTGAGGGTTGCGGTCCGTTGCCGGACATGAAAAAAGACAAAAAAAAAAAGAAGTTGCACTTGACTAAAATCATAAGCTTTCTCATGCCTACCTTGTGCTTTCAAATCATAATCATCCAAGTATGGGTCTTCTTTGTATTTTCATAGAAAATGCAAAATTTTCTGCATCTCTATTAATTTTATTAGGTGTTTAATAGAATAATCTTCCCAAGGTAGAATTTCCATAAGTTAAGTGTAACTCATGGAAGGCTATACTGGTTTGAAATGCAGTTTATGTAAATGTAACAGGTTTTTCAATGCAGTAAATTAACTACTTTTATCTTGTTTACTGAAGAGGCCCATAGCTGATTTATTTGCTTTTGTGCATATTTGTGATTTGACAGTTCTTGCCCATAGAATCTTTCGTTCGGTAAAGGATAGATACATGTAAATAGTGAGGATTTTTTTTTTTTTTGCTGGTTTGCCACCCTGGCTCCAGGCATTCCACATGGGTATTGAATGGAGGTACAGGAAGAGTTGGGATTGTGTCTTTGGCCAGTTATTCCATAATAGATGGTCTGGTTTTGTTCTGGGTACCCCTTAAAGTCATGCAAAAGCCAGTACACACAAGAAATGGTGAGGTTTTATAGATTTGATAATCACCTTCATCCTTTTATGTTTTATTTTCTTTTTCTTTTCACATCCCTTTTGACTTTTACTGTTTTTTCTTGCAGTATTTTGCAAGAAGGGAAGGTCAAGTACAGCCACAGCTGGTCTTGAATATTTAAATATTAACTTGAACAGCTATTATTTAAGGCAATGTAACTTTTTCCTGTTTTTTCCCTAAAACAGAGATCTTCTATACATTTAATTTTGTTGTTGTTCTTATTTTTTGTTTTTGTAGACACCGTTGATTCCATTACTCCTGACAAAGTACGGGGTTTACGGGATATGTTGAACAGCAGTGCAATGGATATAATGTATTATACTAGCCCACTTTATAGAGATGAAGTAAGTATCATGATCATTTTGTTGCTGTTGGGTATTTTTTAGAGTCATAGCATCTAAATGTCTTGAATTTTAACATTTTATTCTCTTTTTTAGAAAAAGCAACTGAGAAATTATAGGAAGCTGTTAATCTATAAATAACCTGTATTTAATAGTGAATTTTATAGTCTTCAAACTAGACATTGGAACCCTTAATAAAATAGATAGTATCAGGAGTGGGGGACTGGTTAGAAAATAGCTCTTTGAAAAATACCAGATTTTGGGCCAGCCCGGTGGCGCACTGGATAGTGCGCCTCTTGGGAAGCGTGGCGGCGCTCCCGTCCGAGGGTTCGGATCCCACATACAGACTGGCTCCCACTCACTGGCTGAGCGAGGCGCGGGAGCAACGCCGAGGCTTGCGATCCCATTGCCGGTCC